ATGGGTCAAGGATAAAATGGAAAGGCAGAAAATGTCACAGAAATGTGCCCATTGATGAAAGACCACCTACTTGTCCTTTTTGGAGGATTGTTCTTTATTCTGAAATTGTGTATATTCTATTCTATTAAAAAATGTTTGTATTTGCATAATTTTTTCTCTTTTATGAAATGCCATGGGGTAGAAATTTGTAATGTATCCAGTTCTCCTGTCTTCATGCATTGCAGTGTGGTGGGGGAGGGGATGTGGCTGGTAGTGGCCAACAGGCTGGGGGCAGAGGTGCAGTGTGAGACTTCTATCCTGGAGCATTTAATTCCTAGTACAGGGCTCTCTAGCATTCTTCTCCCTCTGTTCCCTGGTTGGTGATACTCGAGGTGGTGCAGCCCCCATTAGCCTTAGTCTTAGGGTGAGTTTGATGGGAAACAGAGCACCTCACACCTCCCTGCAGATGTAGCATGTTAGGAGTTGTTTGTTATTACAGCAAAACCTAACCTATTCTGACTGATCATGGTGGAATTTCTCTGTGTGTGTGTGTGTGTGAGAGAGAGAGAGAGAAACTGGTAGTTTAAAAAAGTTCCTTCTTACCAAAAAGAAAAAAAAATAGCAACCTTATGTTGGTTCTCAAATTAAAAAAATATTTTTACTGGTTTATAAAATAGAAAAATCTGAGAATCTGTAGCTTAGAGAACTACAGTGTGGGATGTCTCTAAAGACCAGGTTATTTTATCAGCTCCTCACACCACTTTATAGAAGCTTAGCCAAGACTTGGACTGTTTCAGTCTTTTCCATTCCACATTTCACGGACTCTTGAAGAGACATTGATAAAACGGTACAGCCATGAACCACCCTAACTCAATCCCTCTTTTACTGCAGAATGAGCTTCTTGCTACAGTGATACTTGAACCCCTTAGATATATTCTGTTCTAATTATATTAAAACATGACCAATGCTTTTGCTTTGTTGCCCCCCAAATTAAACACCTTAATCATGCGAACACAGAGAATTGGATCTAGTGTGACTGATTCCCAACTGTCAGAACATAATTAGATTATATTTTTCTCCAGTTCAAATAAAAGAAAATTGACAATAAAATGCTGATCAATATGTGTAGCTCAGGAGGTAGAGCCTGCTTTGAGATGCAGAAGTATTTGTTTGTTTGGTTTTTTTTAGATCTATATTCTTGAGTAAAGAAAAAATCCATCTCTCTTTCCTAGAGGGGGAAGACTTTCAGAGATGGGCCTGGCAACAGCCTGACTATCAGAGGCTGAATTAAACAAATAGGTGCCTCCCTGGAGTGAATGGTGCATTTCTCCTGTTGGGGGGACTGTGCTTTTATGGTGGACTTTGCTTTCTGTCTTGGTCTCCGGATGTGTATCTGTGGGTGGATGTCTGCATGTAAATGGCAGTGTATACCCGTGTGGGTGTGTACAAAATTCCCACGTGAATCTCAGCTTTGTGGGGATCTCGGGGTCTTGAGCCCAGCAGATGCCATTTGAAGAAAAATCACTTGAATACGAGACAGAAAGAATGGAAACCAAATCCTAGCTCTAAAGGTACCAGGCTGATTAAAAAAACAAAACAAAACTGGATTTTCTTTGTTTTGGACTCTACCTGCCTCCAAATGACATTTCTGTTTCCTATGAAATGATTAGAATGAAAGAGATCCCGAGCACGAAAGAGCAGATACTGTGTGATTCTGTGTATGTCAGGGTTTCAGCTGCGACCCTGCTGACATTTTGCCTCAGCAATTTCTCTCTTGTATGTGTGTGGGTTCCCTGTACATTCTGGATGTTGAGCGGCATCTCTGGACTCACTGGATGCAGTAACACAGCTCCCCTCAAGTAGAGACAATCCCTTGTGTCTCTGGATGTTACCTAAGGTCCCCAGGGGGCAAAATAGCCCCCATCTGAAAACTGCTGCTATCATAAAGTACAATGTTAGGTGGAATTGGTGGAGGCTGTTGGTTGTCAGGGGGGGTTAGTAGAGATGGAAGAGACCCCAGGAATATTCTGGAAGGGGCTGTAATGTTCTTTTTCTTGAATTGGGTGTTGGTAATATGGAGATGTTCAGTTTTTTTTTTTTTTTTTTTTTTTTTTTTTTTGAGGCAGGATCTTGCTCTGTCACCCAGGCTGGAGCACAGTGACACCATCATGGCTCACTGCAGCCTCTGCTTCCTGGGCTTAAGCAGTCCTCCCACCTCAGCCTCCCGAGTAGCTGGGACTACAGGCATGTGCCACCACTATTGCCTACTTATTTATTTATTTATTTTTTGTAGAGATGGGGATCTCACTATGTGCCCAGGCTGGTCTTGAGCTCCTGGGCTCAAGCAATCTGCTCACCTCAGCCTCCCAGAGTGCTGCGATGACAGGCATGAGCCACTGCGCCTGGCCAGTATGTTCAGTTTGTAAGAAAATTACTGTGTTGACCTCTTATATGTGCACATTTCTTTTTTTTTTTTTTTTTGAGACAGAGTCTCGCTCTGTTGCCCAGACTGCAGTGCAGTGCTGCAATCTCGCTCACTGCAAGCTCCACCTCCCAGGTTCACACCATTCTCTTGCCTCACCCTCCCGAGTAGCTGGGACTACAGGCGCCTGCCACCATGCCCAACTATTTTTCTTTTTTTTTTGTATGTTCAGTAGAGACAGGGTTTCAGTGTGTTAGCCGGGATGGTCTCGATCTCCTGACCTCGTGATCAGCCTACCTCAGCCTCCCAAAGTGCTAGGATTATAGGCGTGAGCCACTGCGCCCGGCCTATGTGCACATTTCTTTAAGTAATAATTCAGTAAAGCATTTAGAAAACTTGGTCATAAGAGGAGTGTTTTGTAGAATGACTGGCATGAAAGCTGATCACCTTCATTTGAACTACTCTGATATGAGCACCAGGGGCCACCAAGAGGAGCCTTTCAAGGTGTCATAGCCAAGGATAGGAGTGTGTTGTGTACATCTCCGTATAAAGGATTTGCTGGTTACATAGAAGAATGAAGCTTCCTTCTGAGGACAGAGGCAGCAAAGCAAGTGGAAGTCCAAAGCACTGAGCTTTCTAAATGGACTTTGCTAAAATCTTGTGGATGACTCATGCTCTTAACACACACCCGTGTACATATTGTCCATATAAACATTAATTCTGTAACAAGGCCCACACATAAGGTTTCTGTTTGTTTGTTTGTTTGTTTTTGAGACAGTTTTGCATTATTGCCCAGGCTAGTGTGCAGTGGCATAATCTTGGCTCACTGCAACCTCTGCCTCCTGGGTTCAGGCAGTGCTTGTGCCTCAGTCCCCGAGTAGCTGGGGCTACAGGTGCACACCACCACGCCTGGCTTATTTTTGTATTTTTGTAGAGATGGAGTTTCACCATGTTGGCCAGGCTGGTCTCAAACTCCTGGTCTTAAGTGATCCGCCCACCTCAGCCTCCTCACATGTTGGGATTACAGGTGTGAGCCGCTGCACCTGGGCCCACACATAAGGTTTGAGTTGAGATAGAGAAACTCTGGCAAGACTGAAGTATTTGGCCATAGTCTCTGGGAAATATCCACAATTTCTGGAATCTTCTCTACTTCCAGAGTTCCCACTTTCTGTCTCTCTCCTGTTTATTCAGTGAACTTGTATGGAACCACAGTGTGCCTAGAACTTGCCAGGTGTGGAGGATAAAAAGATGACTGAGGTCAGGCATGGTGGCTCACGCCTGTAATCCCAGCACTTTGGGAGACCAAGGCAGGTGGATCATTTGAGGTCAGGAGTTTGAGAACAGCCTGGCCAACATGATGAAAAGTCTCTACTAAAAATACAAAAATTAGCCGGGCATGGTGGCACGCACATGTAGTCCCAGCTACTTGGGAAGCTGAGGCAGGAGAATCGCTTGAACCCAGGAGGGTTCAAGCAGATTTTGCAGTGAGCTGAGAGCACGCCGCTGCATTCCAGCCTGGGAGACAGAGCGAGATTCCATCTCAAAAAAAAAAAGATGACTGAGATACAGACTCCATCAGAGTTGACTCTAACACAAATTAGGTAAGAGCCCAAGGTCTGACTGGGCAAGCACCTTGATCGGCCTCATCCTGTAGCCTCTACTAGAATGAAGAACACTTTTTTCTTTACCTGTGAAAATGTATTGTGCTGCGTACCTACAAGTGCAATTTGTGTTTATTCTGCAAAATTTGCCATATGCCTGTATTCTTAACATTTTTCTTTTGAGAGATTTTTCAGCAAATCATCTTTGGACTATGTGGAACTGGAAATTTACTTAGAGGCAATAAAAAGTACAGGAAGGTCAGTTCTTAGTCAAGAGTGAGGTTTTCAAAGACAGTGGAGAAAGTAAAAAATCTAGTACAGTCAAGATTTTACTTGCAAATCCCCCCATCATTCATAAAGTTTAGCAGTCAGTCTTACCGTGCCTCACCAGGTTTAATCCGCACTTCTTCCCCCACGATTGGAGCAGAGGGTGATTTTTTTATGAGCAACTGATGAAGTCATTGAGAGGGCATTTGCAGTAGGAGCCATGTGCACTAGAGACCAGTCAATGTGCCCTCATGGCACCATTTCTGTCTCTCTCCCTCTTTGTTCTTGCCAAGTACCCATAGTTCATTTTCCATAGATTGAAAGAGCCCGAGTTGGGCCTACACCTAGGAGTACAATTGCTGGGTTGTTTGGTAACTCTACGTAGAATCGTTTGGGAAGTTGTCAAACTGTTTCTCACAGTGGCTACACCATTTTAATTCCCACCAGCAGTGTATGAAGGTTCTAGTTACTCTACATCCTCACCAACATTTGTTATTTTCTGTATTTTTTTTTTTTTTGAGACAAAGTCTTGCTCTGTCGCCCAGGCTGGAGTGCAGTGGCACAATCTCGGCTCACTGCAGTCTTTGCCTCCCAGATTCAAGTGACTTTCCTGCTTCAGCTTCCTGAGTAGCTGGGATTATAGGCACCTGCTGCCATGCCTGGCTAATTTTTGTGTGTGTGTTTTTTTTTTTTTTTTTTTTTTAACTTGAGACCGGGTTTCACCATGTTGGCCAGGCTGGTCTCAAACAGCTGGCCTCAGGTGATCCACCCGCCTCGGCCTCCCAGTGCTGGGATTACAGGCGTGAGCCACCGCGCCAGGCCAGTTTTCTGTATCTTCGATTCTAGCCATCCTTATGGGTATGAAGTGGTATCTCATTGTGGTTTTGATTGGTGTTTCCCTGATGATGAATTTCATTGAGCATCTTTTCATGTGCTTATTGGCCACTTGTATGTTGGAGATGTGCCATATTTTCATATTCAAAAATGAAAGCACAGGTCCATACAAAACTTGTACATGAATAATTCAGTAGCATCACTCCTAATAACCCAAAGAGGGAATTAATCCAAATGCCCATCACCAGATGAAGAGAGACACCGAGTGTTGTCTACCTACACAGTGGAATATTATTTGATCACAAAAAGGAGCAAAGTACTCACATATGCTACAGTGTGGATGAACCTTGAAAACAGATGAAAGATCACATTCTACATGATTTCATTCAGATGGAAATCTATAGAAATACGAAGTGGGTTAGTGGTTGCTTCTGGCTGGTAGGGGCATGGGAGGATAGGGGGTGTTAGCCAAACGGTATGAGGTTTCTTTTTGAGGTCATGAAATGTTCTAAAATTGACTGGTAATGTTTGCGTGTATCTCTGAATATATTAAAAACAATTGAAATGTAAAAAACGCAAAGAAAAAACAGCCCAACTTGCAGTTTTATTCAACACTTGATGGGTTTTAAAAATAGATTCCAGGCTGGGCTTGGTGGCTCACACCTGAAATCCCAGTGCTTTGGGAGGCTATGGTGGGAGGATTGCTTGAGGCCAGGAGTTCCAGGCCAGCCTTGGCAACATGGCAAGACCCTGTCTCTACCAAAAAAAAAAAAAAAGAAAAGAAAAAATAAGTAGCAGCTGGGTGCAGTGGCTCATGCTTGTAATCCTAGCACTTTGGGAGGCTGAGTTGGGCAGATCACCTGAGGTTAGGAGTTGAAGATCAACCTGGCCAACGTGGTGAAACCCTGCCTCTACCAAAAATATAAAATTTAGCCTTTTGGTACTCTGAGCAGCACCATGGCGGTTGTTAAGAACAAATGCCTTATGAAAGGTGGCAAAAAGGAAGTTAAGAAGAAAGTAGTCAATCCATTTTCTAAGAAAGATCAGTATGATGTGAAAGCACTTGCTATGTTCAATATAAGAAATATTGGAAAGATGCTAGCCACCAGGTCCCAAGGAACCCAATTGGCATCTGATCGTCTCAAGGGTCTTGTGCTTAAAGTGAGTCTTGCTGATTTGCGGAGTGATGAAGTTGCATTTAGAAAATTCAGGCTGATTACTGAAGATGTTCAGGGCAAAAACTGCCTGACTCACTTCTATGGCATAGGTTCTTAGCTGTGACAAAATATGTTCCATGGTTGAAAAATGTTCAACAATGATTGAAGCTCATGTTGGTGTCAAGACTATCGATGGCTACTTCTTTCGTCTGTTCTGTGTTGGTTTTACTGAAAAACGCAACAGTCAGATATGGAAGACTTCTTATGCTCAGCACCAGCAGTCCGCCAAATCTGGAAGAAGATGCTGGAAATCATGACCTGAGAGGTGCAGACAAATGACTTGAAAGAAGTGGACAATAAATTGATTCCAGACAAGATTGGAAAAGATGTAGAAAAGGCTTGCCAATTTATCCTCTCCATGAGGTCTTCATTAGAAAAGTAAAGATGCTGGAGAACCCTGGGTTTGGATTGGGAAAAGGCATGGAGCTTCATGGTGAAGGTAGTAGTTCTGGAAAACCCACTAGGGACGAGACACATGCTAAAGTTGAATGAGCTGATGGATATGAACCACCAGTCCAATAATCTGTTTAAAGTTCAGACTTATAATAGTGGCAAATAAAAAGTCCTATTTGTGAAAAACAAACAATAAACAACAATGAAAAAAAGCAAAATTTGCCTGGTGTGGTGGTGCATGCCTGTAATCCTAGCTACTCAGAAGGCTGAGGCATGAGAATCACTTGAACCCGGGAGACAGAGGTTGCAGTGAGGGAAGACTGCACCACTGCACTCCAGCCTGGGCAACAGAGTGAGACTGTGTCTCAAAAAATAGAAAAAAAAGTATCCAGGCTTGGTGACATGTGCCTGTAGTCTCAGCTACTCCGAAGGCTGAGGTGGGAGCATGGCTTGAGGCCAGGAGTAGTTTGAGGCTGCAGTGAACTATGATTGTGACACTCCAGCCTGGACTGTAGAGCAAGACCCTGACTCTTACACATACACACACACACATATACATACGTACATACCCAGGCTCTACCTCTGGTGATTCTGACTCAGTGGGTCTGGGTATCCCCTAGAGATCCTGCTGTTCAGCCTGGTCTGGGATCCACTTTTCTTTGGGAACTGAGACACTGGTTGTGAGCCTTCTGTCCTGAGAAGTAGAGGTCATGGTGACGCAGGTTCAAGCTTAAGGAGAACTGACTGTGTGTTAGGTATTATGCTGAACATCATTTCTTACTCTCACAGCAACATCCTTAGAAGGTCGATGATATGTCCCTGCTCTACTGATGAGGAACTTATCTTTCAGAAGAGTTTAGTTTGTTCAAAACTTATTCTTCCTATTGGAAACTATGTACACTTTGACCAATATCTCCTATCCCCTACCTTTCCTCCACCCCAGTCCCAGATAACCACTGTCCTACTCTCTATTTCTGTGAGTTCAACTTCTTTAGATTCCACATATAAGTAAAATCATGCAGTATTTGTTTTTCTGTGCCTGGCTTATTTCCCTTAACACAATGTCTTTCAAGTTCATCCACGTTGTTGAAAATGACAGGATTTCATTCTTTTTAAGGGTTAATAGTATTCCATTGTGTTTATATAGTACATTTTCTTTATCCTTTCATCCACTGATGGACACTTAGGTTGATTCTGTATCTTGGATATTGTGAATAGTGTTGCAGTGAACATAGGAATGTAGAGATCCCTTCGACATATTGACTTTAATTTTTTTTACTCTATACCTAGAAGTTGGCTTGCTGGATTATATGTTTTGAAATCTATAGCACAGCAGGGTGATTATAGTCAATAATAATGTATCTTTCAAAATAACTAAGGGTACATTTCAAATGTCTCATCATAAAAATTGTCAGTGAATTAGGTGATGGACATGCTAATTAGCTTGATCTAATCATTCCACATTGTCTACACATATAAAAACATCACGTAAATGTGTACAATTATGATTTGTCAATTAAAATAACATTAGTTAACAAAATAAGTTGTTCAAAGCCCCAGTTGGGATTGATGGAGCTGGGACATGCACTGAGGCTGTTGCTCTCAGACCCACAGAGTCCATGGTCCACGAATGTTGAAGCCCTACCTGAGATGTCTACTGAGATCGCTGTAGGAATTCAATGTCTCAGAATCATCTCAAACTCCATGGCCCACAAGTCCATGACTGCTGCCTCTACCCCTGACCCTACTGACCTGAAATGCCCCTGCTTTCATTTCCGGGAGCATACACCACTTAAACCAAGCATTGATGGGTTTTGTTGACTTCATTTGAGATGTGGGGCCATGGATAGGTTCCCATGATCCTTGCTTGGTGTTGGCCAACTCCTTTGACTTCACCCTTCCCTTTTCTACTCACCTCCTCTGTCATGGATTGCTCTGGGAATTCTGAGCCCTAGTTCCTTTATTTTGCAGATAACCTTCACTCTTCTCTGCAACTAATCCCAAAAGTATGTAGTTGAGCTGACTGCAAGGTGCTTGACATGCAAGAGACTCCACAAATGGGATTCAGCCTCCGGAAAGTGGTGGTAGTTTCAGATTTATGTGAATGTTACTTTGTTTTCCTCTATAAAATATATTATTTAAACTATCAAACTCTTGGCTCTAGGATATAGTCCTTTGCTGGTGGCAGTGGGCTGGGTACTGCCACCGGGGAGAAATGCTGCACGCTTAGAGAAAGAGAAACTGGTTCTCTTTAAGAGGCAGAGAGTGGTTTCCAGTGCCAGTTTGTTTGGAGGCAAAATAGCTGCTGTATTAAAATTGCCCAAATTTGGGCTAGTGCCTTGTGTGTTTAGAGCTCAAAGCCACGATTGCTTTCATTTTTTTTTTTTTTTTTTTTTTTTTTTTGGTGGTAGGTTTTCCATCCTTTTGCTTGGCAGGTTTCTGCTAATAGCTTCAACCTCAAGAGTTCCATTATACAGACACTAATAGCACCTACTATGTTCATCATTATATTATCTCCAATGCCTGGCATAGAGTAGGTCTGTCGTGCTTACTATATGCCAGGCATTGGAGATAATATAACGATGAACAAGACAAACATGGCACTTGGAAAAGAGAGTCTAGTTCCCACTCTCAGCCCACCCCAAAGAGAGGCCAGAATTGGACTTCCAAAGATCTCAGATGCCCTTGCATCATCTCCCTGAAGAAGGAAGGTGAAGCTTTGTCTGAAGAGAATTTGGCTGGACAATCCCCAAGGTTTGGAATGATGGGAAGAAGCTGCCATCTGTGTTTAAGGTGAGAAGCGGGGGAGTGGCTGGATCTCAGAGGAAGGCAAGTTTAAGAGAAGGTTTTTGTGAGCTCCTTTGCCTAGTGGAGACCTGTTATAGTGAGGGTCCCTGGGGCTGAGCCTGTGTGTCAGTGGAATGATGCCGTGAGGAGGGTCTTCTTATAGCAGATGGCCCAAAAAAGGTTGATGGATCATGAACAGCCGGAAGAATGGAGAGTTCGGGAGACGTAGTTCCTACCTGGCTTTCCAACAGTGTGTAAGCCCAGAATTCTTACATAAGCCCGTGGAGAAGGGAAAGGAACGCTGGTAACGACAAGATTGAGTTCTCCACCTGCCAGGCATCCAGGGACTCAGAGCAGATTTAACTGAAGTTACAGAAATAGGAATGTGACATTTCCTACATCCGGGTGTGCTGAAGCAAAATGTATTCCCTCTCTGGTTTGTGGGGAAGGAGAATGCTAACAGACAAGACTCCAGGTTTTCACTCTTAAACCTGGTGCCTAGAAATACATTTTCTACTGGATGTAGACAAAAGCTCCATATAGACATATCCATCACTGCATCTCTGATGCCTTGTGTTCTCCCTAATTTTCCCTGTAACCTGCAGAGGAAGAAAGTTCCAGCATCACTTTTGGCCTCCCAAGAGTGAGTTAGGTGACCAGGTGGGGTTGCTCATGCCTGTAATCTCAGCCTTTTGGGAGGCCGAGGTGTGCAGATCACTTGAGGCCAGGAATTGGGGACCAGCTTGGCCAACACGGTGAAACTGTGTCTCTACGAAAAATACAAAAATTAGCCAGGCGTGGTCGTGGGCGCCTGTAGTCCCAGCTACTCTGGAGGCTGAGGCATGAGAATCGCTTGAACCCAGGGGGCGGAGGTTGCGGTGAGCCAAGATTGCACCACTGTACTCTAGCCTGGGTGATAGAGTGAGACTCAGTCTCAAAACAAAACAAAACAAAACAAAACAAAACAAAACAAAACAAAAACAAAGAAGAGTGAATTAGGATGAAAACTTCCAAGTCTCTCTTTCATATGTCTCCTCCCTGGTGAGCAGAGGAGTTGACTTTATTGGCAAGACTGAGGAAAAGGTGACTGTGTTTCTGCCATGTTCACTTATTAGTGGATGGGTTATTTTGCCTAGACTGTGACCACAGGGGCCACCTCTAAATCCCTTGCATAGGCACCAGGCTTTTTTAGGGCAAGCAGGACAGGTAAGATCTGCCTCTGGCAGAGGCAGCCCGGTCTACTTACCCTCTGCTTCCCTTTCTGCCTGTGACTGAATGGACATGTCAGGGTCTGGTAGGGAATCTGGGAGGAGGAAGCCTCATTAACTTCTTTTCTGCAGCAATTGATGGCCACCCAACTTGAACAGTGAGGGCTTATCACCTCATGTACTAAGACCGGAGATAGCTAGGTTGGCTAAATTAGTAGCTTGAGATGTTAGATTTTTCATTTGAGGTTTCTGTGCTGCTATTGCCTTCTGTTCTTGGTCACAGAGGCTGCCACAATCCACATGTCAAGTCCTCGTGTGACAACATCCAGAGACAACAAGGAAGAGGTACAGTGTATTCCTGCATGTTTCTTAAAAATTTTTTTGATAGAGAATAATTGTACACATTTATGGGGTCCATGTGAGATTTTGGTACATGCATACAATGCGTAATGATCAAATCAGAGTCTTTAGGATATTAGTCACCTCAAACGTTGACCATTTCTTTGTGTTGGGAATATTTCCAATGTTAATCTGGAGATATCACATTACCTATCTTTGAACTATATTACAAGGCTATAGTAATCAAAACAGCATGGTGCTGGTATAAAAATAGGCACATGACCAGTGGAACAGAGTAAAGAACCCAGAAATAAGGCCAAATACATCCAACTGATCTTTGACAAAGCAAACAAAAGCAAAGTAGGGAAAGTACACCCTATACAACAAATAGTGCTGGGATAATTGGCAAGTCACATGTAAAAGAATAAAACTGGATCCCCATCTCTCACCTTATACAAAAATCAACACAAGATGTATCAAAGACTTAAATCTAAGGCCTGAAACCATAAAAATTCTAGAAGATAACGTTGAAAAATGCTTCTAGACATTGGCTTAGGCAAACAGTTCATGACCAAGAACCCAAAAGCAAATGCAGGGAAAACAAAGATAAATAGATGGGACTTAATTAAACTAAAAACCTCCTGCACAGCAAAGGAAATAATCAGCAGAGTCAACAGATCACCCACAGAGTGGGAGAAAATTTTCACAAACTGCATCTGACAAAGGACTAATATCCAGAATCGACAGGGAACTCAAATCGGCAAGAAAAAAAACAATCCCATCAAAAAGTATGCCAAGGACATGAATAGACAATTCGCAAAAGAAGATATACAAATGGCCAACAAACATGAAAAAATGCTCAACATCACTAATTATCAGGGAAG